AAGCCATAGGAAATCTGAAGCGAGGGAGAGCAGCAGGCCCTGACAGGTTTACTCCTGAGATTTTTAAGGATAGTGGTTCAGTATTAGCAATGAGATTAACTGAGGTCTTTGGTAGAATTTGGGAATTGGACGTAATCTCATCTGACTGGTCTCAGTCACTGATTGTGCCAGTTTATTAGAAACGACAAAAGTCCTCTTGTGACAATCACAGAGGAATCAGTTTGACTAATATAATGTCTAAAATATTAGCTTCGATAATACTTCGACGCCTAACTAAAGCTCGTGAAGAGCAGACTAGAGAAAATCAGGCTGGTTTTCGACCTGGACGTGGTTGTATCGATCAGATATTCACACTACGTCAGGTCCTAGAACATAAACACACATTCAGACGCCCCACAATCGTAGTATTTCTCGACATTAAGGCGGCATTTGACAGTGTTGATCTGGAGGTTCTGTGGTAGTGTTTGTCATTGAAAGGAGTACCAAAGAAGTACATTAACCTTGTAAAGGCTCTCTATTTGCACACAACTGGTCGAGTGAGAGCTTATGGCGAACTGTCATCAGAATTGATTACATCAAGTGGTGTTCGTCAGGGCTATCCACTCTCTCTATCCATGTTTAGCTTTGTCGTTAATGTGCTTTTAAACATAACACTTTTCACATCTAAATTTCCAGGGGCTGAGCTTCTACCGGGAGGTTCACTTGTTGACTTAGAATATGCTGATGACATAGTTTTATTTGGTGAAGACGCTGACAAAATGCAGAGTCTTCTGACCACACTAAGCAACAATGCATGCATGTTCGAGATCCGATTTTCCCCCCTCGAAATGCGAAATGTTGCTTCAGGATTGGGTTATTTCGACACCCGGATTAATAATACGGGGTGAAGTAGTTGAGTGTGTCGACCGCTTCACTCATATTGGAAATCTCATCAGCCCTTGTGGTCTGGTGTGTGACGAAATCTCATCACGGATACAGAAGGCTGGATTAGCTTTTGCCAACTTGCGTCATTTATGGCGTAGGCGAGATATCCGTCTATCAACCAAATGACGTGTTTACTGCGCAGCAGTTCGTTCCTTCCTACTTTATGGCAGTGAAACATGGCCGGTAAGAGTAGAAGATATTCGTAGGTTACTAGTATTCGATCATAGATTTCATCGAAACATTGGTCGTATATCCTGAGACTATCGAGTAAATAACGCAGTTGTTATTACGTTTTTGATTGAGATCTCTACAACCTCCATACTAGTAATCAACATGTGCTAACTAGTGACTAGCTTCGTGAGGGAATTCTCGGAGTTCTAGTGAGAAGCCGTGATCATTGGAGCTAATCCATGTCGGGTAGAGACAGGTATCTACCTCAGTACAATGGAAGTTGGTCGCACAATTTTGTGGATTGGTTGATGTTAGACACTATCACCATTGGATGCCGGCTCAGTGGTCCAGTTGGTTAAGCGTTCGCGCGCGAGACCGAAGGCCCTGGGTTCGAATTCCGCCGGCGGGACCGTGGATGCGCACTGCTGAGGGGCCCCGCAATAGGACGAAACGGCCGTCCAGTGCTTCCAGGTTTCCAAAGGTGGTGGTCTAACATCAATCGGTTCATGATCTCAATCAAAAAATATGAATGAGGTCAGATATAGTAGATTTAGGGGTGGATCTTGAATAAATTCCTCAAAAATATTATCAAATGTAAAGATAATAATAATAAGTTTGGGACATAAAATGAACATTAATCAGATTACGTCACCATATTATAAAATTAATTATTAACTAGTTGGCCCCAAAGTTGGCCAGGGTAAAATGAGTGGCCAAACATACTTCTTTTGGATATAAATCTCTGGCTTTTTGATCCGGATAGCAATTGCTTCAGCCGTCTGTAGAATTCGCCGTCTGACGAAATTAGGTAGACTGCTGTCAACACGATAGATTATTGCAAGCGATTGCTCTATGTTGGCTGTATGCCCTGTTTGAACTAGATGGTGTAAGATGGAGCTGCTAACAGTTTTTACTACACCTTTGCTTAACCACACGGGGAGGTGCTCACGAGCCCGAATGTATAAATTCCTAGAACATCTGCCAATATAACTTGCTTCACAGGAGCAGTTGAATTGATAGATACAGAATGAAGTGGTTAGTCTAGGTAGTTTATCTTTCAATCTCGGAGTGAATGAAATATTTCATAATCACATTTGATTTGACCTACTGAACCCCATAATTATACCAGGAATTCAGAACTTCTTGTTTTCAATGTTATTCCAAGATTACTAGATTAAGCATTTATGTCGACTGAAATTTGTTTATCACTTAGCTACATCTTCAGTACCATGCGTGCTCTCTTTGAGAACTTCCTACTTATTGTCAGACAGCCATCGAAAATTATCATTTAATCGGTCTGACTATTTTAATTCATCGTTCTATGAACCTAGTTACGTTAATATGTTTGTGCTACATATTCGTCTGTAATGTTTTGTCTGTACAGGTTCCTGCTCCTCCAGTATCTTCTTCGGTTGCCACGCATACTGCAGTGAAATTTATTTTGGACGCAGCTAGAGGAAAGCCACGTGATCAACGAATATGGATATCTCTGGCAAACGAATTTATGGTGGCTTCACAAAACCAAGGGAAAGCTGTCAAATACAAGGTTGAATTACATAAACAATGTGAAGAGAATCGTGCATATGCTAATTTTAGATCACATTAACTAATTTCCTTCCAAACTTCGTTTTTCTATAGAAATCGTACGCTTGTAAATATCCATTCGTTACAATAGATACTTACTTTTATAAACATATCTTTTTTTGTATACATTGTTCTTTAAATTTACTTCCAAGAATATTTGCTTCAGTGTTTGCATTAGAAAGTCTGTCTGATGATTATCCACTGTTTTCAAATAAAATTAACACTATCTTCTGTTGAAGTGGTGGGCTACTGTGCCCTAGTTCGTTGGGACTATTGAACAGCTGAACAACTGAATTGCTTTAGTGTAGAAGAACATTCTTGCTAGTGTTAGAATCCTGCTTCTATTTTAGGTTTCCTATAAACTTATAGTTTGTGGCACTGTTTTGGGTTTTCGTATGAACTTTTCCGCTCAGTCTTTTTGATCAAAAGCTATGCAGTTTATTCACTATATATATAGTCATGTAACAGTTTTTTTTAATAATCTGTCTTTGAGAAAATGTGTTTAGTGTTATAGTGTAAAATCGTGCCATTCAGAATCAAACCCATATTAAAGGGAAGATATTTGCATGAAACTCAGTGATAAATTCCGCTAGTGTTTAGAAAAATTATATTCAAAATAACAGTAATAATAATATATGAAACTAGGTTTCACAAAATAGCATAGTGTACAAAGTTTTGGAATTCCAATTAATTTCAAGCTTGAATTTTAATATTTGATTCTAATGTTTAACTGTTATGCCAGTATATTATCTTTTCGTTGTGAGATATAATAAATGTCGAGCATTATTTTTTTAGCCTAACAATACTGAAAAATGCTAATTCACAGCAATCTGCGCGTCTTACCCTCATCCAAATGGTTCGATTTGTTAAATCTTAAGTACAAGCACTGTCGCCATGCGCATACTTATGCACAACATATAGGTAGTAATCTTAAAGCGAAAATTTCAGTCAGTGATCTACCTATCGCAACAATACGAAATGTTGGTTTAATTGCTCATATCGACGCTGGTAAAACGACTACTACAGAACGCATGCTTTATTATGCTCGTAAGCGTTTAGCTTGATATATTATGTTGTCTCTTTATTTTGCATTTCATTGAGACATCTGTATAAAATTGTGGTACTTCTATCAGATCAGTCACATATAAAGATTGAAAGCTTCTAGCGTTTACTAGGTTCTTCGTAAATTAAAAGTAAATGATACATAATCATATTTCATATATCTATGTGTGTACTCTGTTTCCATGCCTGTTAGCCGGTAACTGAGTGCAAATGTTGTTTTTTTAAATGTTTCTAAAGTAACACAACCAATAAATGATAAAGGTGTTCTCACATAAAACAGTTCCACGAAAAGATTTGTGATTACACCGCTTCGTAAAAACAACTATCTTACATGTTACTAAATATTTTTATATAACTGTCATAATATAAGGTGGTATGTTAACTCCAAATGTGTTGTCAACTGCTGATCACCGAAGTTGTTTCAATGTAAATAGTTTATTGAGTTGCATTATGCTAAAAAAATGTTTTTCTTGTGAAGAACGTGTTTGGATGCCTATACGGCATATACAATTAATGATCCTATGCCTTTCAATAGGATGGACTTTATTTTATAAACTCGTGAGCTGACATTCAAAGCTGTGGCTATATGTACAATCTCCGTCGATCTACTTCTGTGCAGCTACCCTTCACACAGTAACTGAGTTTTGTAACCTGTATGCATCTGTGTGTGCTTACAAAATAGATTTAAAAAAATATATTTATATATAACCATTGACTCGTGTATGAGATAAGTGTATATAACAGGTCAAGCGATTCCATGATTTAATGCTTTTGCTTACTAGTCGTGAAGAGTTATTTCCTCATCATGCATTTTTCATGATATTTTTGTAAATTTCTTGTTGAAGATTGTTTACGACTGTCTGGGTAAAGTGTAAAGGTGGTTATTTTATGACAAAGCTGTGGAATTCAGGATATTTCTATCTAGTTTATATATATATATATATATATATATATATATATATATATATATATATATATATATATATATATATATATATATATAGTCTTATCACTGAGGTGTATGCAACTCAGTTATTTGGAACTTAATCAGACATGGACCGGAATTAAAATTAGTGGCCACTTCGTTGTTTTGCTTTCTTGCTCTTCTTAAGCACTAACATGTAGGTTAAGATAATGAATTTTATCTTGTATTCGTATTCAAACTTCATCCATGAGCAAAATTGCTATCGTTACATGAATTCATGTCTTATTGCTTTATTATTATTATTATTGTTATTTATTTATTCATTTGTTTATTTATTTGAACACATAGATATTGGTATAAAGAGGCACCGAATACATATGCACCACAAAAATCTCATTTGATTTGTGTGAGAGCTGTGATACTGCCCGGGTGCCCAAATCGAAGCAGGTGGTTTTCTTAGGGGGCCACACACGGAACCTTCGACCTAAAGTTCTGATCTACAAAGCAGTGGAGCAACGGTAGGAGATGCAGTCCTATTGTAGCCGGTGACCAACAATTCGTTCTTACACCATTTGTTCCTTCAGGATCCATGAAGCCCACGTGCACCATTGGTTCGGAATCAGAGTTTTTCAGCTCCCCTAGGTGGACTCTCCGTCTCCACTAACCCGGTTAAAGTGCCAGACAATCGCTTTTCGTCCTCTCAGTTTCGTAAACAACACCCCTACCGCGAGAAGGCGATGAGTAGGACTTCCCTGGCAGAGGCTATATACGCGTGGCCATGTGAGAACATTTCGAGTGGGAGAACGGACTCTCCTCACTCTCGGCCGTACCAGGGCATTTAGGGGCTTATTACTTCATAACCATTATCGTGGTGCATTTCGTAACACCCTATTCTACCAATCAATCTACCAATGTCTTAAACATACTGAAACTACTCTGTATTTTAACTAATAGTATTTAGTAAATTATCAAGTAGGACGTTTTTGATGTATTCTTTCTTCTATCATTGCCAAAGAAATGCTTTATCCCAGAGCTTATAAATAAGAGCGTGAGTAAAATATTTATTCGTTTGTTAGTAGAAATTAATAAGCGTGTTATATAAATAATTTTTTATTCACTTGTATTGTGTTAAGTGATTCTCTGAAGATGGTATTTTGTATCACAATTTAACACTAGCTGAAGAAACATTTTTATCATCACTTCTGTAGTTACGTATACCTCCAAAATTAAGTGGGGAAATTGCAAAAGCATCTTACCTAATTAGAGCTTTAGAATCACCCTCAGGTTTCAAGCTACATAGATTATGTACTGGCTACTAACAATAAATACCTGACCTGTCCTATGATCTAATACTGTTATTGTTATTTTCAAGTTTCCTGATATACCAAAGGCGATGGAGTAGTGCATGCATCTATTGTTGTTCAGAGTCTTATTTTATATATATGCCCTCCACCTCTTTATTGTCTCATCAAGAGTTTTTGGAGGGGCGACTCTGTGATCATGATGTTCGACTTTCAGCTGTTGTGTTTGAGATTCAAAACTCGTTTCATTTTCTACGGTTAGGGTAACCAGATAGTATCATTGGCCGTCATACTTAAAGTGTGGCTTGAAGCCAAGTTCACGAATCAGTAAAATGAATTATAATGTACCGCCCACTTGTCGATATTGTAACCTGTGTGTTGCCTGAACTACTGAATCACATCTTTTCGATAAAGCTAAACCCGTCGTATGATAATGCAAATTTTAACCTAATGTAGAAACGTTCATATGGTGCACAATTTATTCATCGCTCTATGTGGATCAAAGTGATTGCTTGGATTGTTTGATCGTTCAGTTTATATCTATTTAGTATCTAATTTTGATGTCGCTACAGCCAACTTACTTTAAGATTACTATTCAGTATTTACCCTACATTCACTTTGTATTTATTTCCAGCCCATTTTCTGTATTTATGCTCATGACTCGCCATTGATTCTACGAAATAATTACGTGCTTTTAATAATTTAGGACGTATACACTATCTCGGTGAAGTGGATCATGGAGATACTGTGACTGATTACTTACCAGAAGAACGTGAACGTGGTATAAGCATTGTTACTGCATCAGCTTCTCTGTCTTGGAGAAATCATATAATTCACTTGTTGGATACTCCAGGACATGTAGACTTCACATTTGAAGTTGAACGAAGTCTAACTGTTTTAGATAGTGTTGCCGTTATATTGGATGCGGTCAAAGGTGTTCAACCTCAGACACATACTGTGTGGTGAGTACTTGTTTCATTTTGCAATTTGGCGCTAACTGCCCATCTTCTGGTAATTGATAGTTGTATAAGTCAATTCGCGCGCGAGACCGATAGGTCCTGGGTTTCTAATCTCGCGAGGCGGGATCGTGGATGCGCACTGCTGAGGAGTCCTATACTAGGACGAAACGGCCGTCCAGTGCTTCCAGGTTTTTCATGGTGGTCTAGCTTCAATTGACTCATGAATTCAACTATTAAATAAGTAAATTTATTTATTTTCCTTTAACTCATACTTTAACGAGTTACTGTTTAAAAGCTTTTTTTCACGAGAAATTCTACATGGGATACTTTTTTTTTTACTGTGATACATAGCTACCAAGATTAGTAATGCTTTCACATTTGATAAAATCATCAGTGGGAGATAATTTATGATTATCCTGGAATTAGTTAATCTAAAAGTCATAGATCACTAAATTTCGCAAAGAATATTTCCAGACTAAAATAACAGACCTGCATTACTCGTAACTGTGTTTACTATTACAAGTTGATATTTTAGTTTGAGCCTAATCTTAAGGGGTTTGTGGGGTTGCAAATACAATGTTTTGATATAGTCTATAATATCGCATTTGTTCCTGTTACCCACCTTTTTTTCGTATCCTTTTCTCTCAAGTCGCCAGGCCCATCGTTACTGTCTTCCATGTCTAATCTATATCAATAAAATGGACCGCCCAATGGCTAACGTCGATCTCTGCTTACGCAGTTTATCTAAACAGCTGCCTACAAAAGCACATTATATGCCTATTCATTGGCCAGTATTTTCTCATAGTCTTAATACAGATAACACATCATCATTAATTAATGCTTCGAATACGTCTACTTCGCTTTCTAATAAATATATTAAAAACAATGGTACCAGTCAATTTGTTGGACTTGTAGATTTGACTACGATGCAATTAAAAGTAAATAATGATCAGAGGTTTACGTAAATTTTTAAGCTTGTAAAATTTTTGTATTTAAAATTGATAAGTGTTTACCGTGTATCCAAGCATTATGAATAGATATGTTTTGATTATTCTGTATGTGAAACGAAAATCTGTATAATTCTCATTTCAATTTTTTATAGTGAGATTTCCTATATAGTCGTATCTACGTTTGAATTAAAAACAGAATATAAGCATGTTAATTATTAATTTTGTTAGTGGCTAGCAGTCGAATTCAAGACACATTTAGTTCGGTTTGGGACCTATCAAGTGAGGTAATCTCCACCTCACTGTTGATTATATTGCTAATCGCTATTCAAAGTGTAATTGTGTTGTACTCAGTATCGAAGCATTCTCTTAAGCAGCTCCTTGTGTTAACAAAATCTGGTCAAATGTAGTCCTGAATATTAAAAACAGAATTGCAAGTCCTAAAACTTATAAAAGGAAAAAATCCATTTCCAAGATCTTTCGTCTGAATTTGAACGAACAGTTTCACAATAGTTGAGCACGAAGTTAATGTAAGACATCAAAAAAGAAATCATATTTTTAAAAGTCTCAGCGATTAGACTTTAAGTACATCCAGCGTTTTGCTTGGCAATTTGGTCCAAGCCATTTGAGTGTACATTTATTAGAACTGGTTAGGATTTAAGAAAAGTGGCTAAAACACAGCCTAGTTAAAAAGTCACATGTTATGGATGAGCGGTCTGAAGTGCGATATCATATGTTACTCGTTAAATTCGTTCTTGTTTTATTATGAACCTTATCGCTTCACTTTTTGCAACAGCAAGGAGTAGCTCTGTGACTCAAATCCTTACTTCTTTAAATTACACTGTCATAATTTCATGTACGTTTGTGTGAAAGTGTTATTATTTACCAATTACATCTTCATTATTGTGATCAAACTTTTAACATATATTCCGCGACATATGTGGATTTCCCTATTAACATCGAATACATTCGGTTGTTCGAAGTGTAACCCTATATGTTGTACTGTCACAAATTAGCCAGCATACTTCTGGTCAGCATTTGAATCAAGAGAACAAATTTCTGTTTGCAACTAACTAAAATATCTGTCATCAGAAAATCTGAATGTCATAGTACGATGCTAAAATGCACGTTAGATTTTATGGAGTGGTTAGAAATTCCTATGTAAAGTACGCTTTCTTTATACATTACCTACCGTGACCTACAAGATTTTTACTGTTTTTATGGACCTGAATCACTAAACTATACTCAGAATATTATTGTATTTGATCTTTCGAGTCCCAATAATTATTACTTATAAAATTGACAAGTTATGACCAACATGCCTTCATTTATTGCTCTAATTGTAAGAATTATGTCAACAACACTATCTATGCTTTCCGTTCGCACTGTACACATCAGCCTGTCAAATGTTTTCTAGTTACTTCATACTAACATTTTTACTGATTGCTTTATGTGTTCTTTAAATATTGATAACAAAGCTTGGAGACTTTCCACAGATTCATGTATTTTTCCGCAATAAAAGTATTGTGTAAAACCATTCATAAACTTTACCAATAGAGCCAAGTAGAAACATTTATTTTTCAGTTAAATGAGAATAATTTCATAAAATGTTTTCGGATTGATATATTTACTTAAAGCAAGGACAATAAACATAGAATGATAAGGGGGATTCATTTCGTGGTTTGTTTATTCTGGTTGATGTTTTTATAGCAAAGTTGTTTTCTATGGGATGGAGTTGCTGACCTTATGCCCAACCCTACTCCTTTACCTGGACTTGGGACCGGAAGTAACCCTAGGAGAGCCATAGGAGAAGTTTTACGTATCTGGGCAGCATCATCGACAAACAAGGAGGATCTAATGAAAATGTAAAGTTAAGGATTGGTAAAACAAAGGCCTCATTCTTACAGTTGAAAAACATATAGAACTCTAAACGACTGTCAACCAATATCAAGGTCAGAATCTTCAATACGGACGTCAAGACAGTTCCACTATACGGAGCTGAAACTTGGAGAACTACCACAACCATCATCAAAATGTTCAAGTATTTATAAACAATTGTCTACGCGAGATATTCAATGTCTGTTGACCAGATACCATCAGCAACAGTCTTGTGGGTGAGAACAAACCAGCTTCCAGCCGAAGAGGAAATTAGGAAAAAACGTCGGTGGTGGATAGGACATACATTGAGGAAATCACCAGACTGCATCATGAAGCAAGCGCTAACTTGTAATCCTCAAGGGAAACGGGAAAGAGGATGGTCAAGGAACATACTGCACCGAGAATTGGAAGCAGACATGAATAGGATGAATAGTAACAGGAGACAACTGGAAAAGATTGCCCAGGACAGAGATGGATGGCGAATGCTGTTGGACGGCCATGCTCCACCACGAGGGGTAACAGGAGTCAGTAATGTGTTTGATTAAGATGTTCTTACTTGAACAGAATTAATTTGACATATTCATATAATTTGCTAAATAACAGTGAAATGCAATATAACTCATGCATTAGCAAAAAGACCTTAACTGACAGCTATAAAATACAAGGTCGGTGTGACGATATCTTTGAAAAAGAGCGATTTTTCTTCTAGAGTTTTCACGTTTAATAACTACTGCGCATTGAGAAGATGATCGGTACCGCGTGCCCCAATTCCTCCGTGCTTGTTGTTAATCTAATATTTACTAATACGAAATAAAGTATGTACGTTGATTGTAAATGATTATTACTGTTGTTTCTAGGTTATAGGCAGCTGTAGAGAAACCACGATATACTTACTTACGCCTGTTACCCCTCGTGGTTGAGCATAGGCCGTCCAACAGCATTCGCCATCCAACTCTGTCCTGGGCAATCTTTTCCAGTTGTCTCCTGTTACTATTCATCCTATTCATGTCTGCTTCCAATTCTCGGTGCAGTGTGTTCCTTGACCATCCTCTTTCCCGTTTCCCTTGAGGATTACAAGTTAGCGCTTGCTTCATGATGCAGTCTGGTGATTTCCTCAATGTATGTCCTATCCATCACCGACGTTTTTTCCTAATTTCCTCTTCGGCTGGAAGCTGGTTTGTTCTCACCCACAAGACTGTTGCTGATGGTATCTGGTCAACAGACATTGAATATCTTGCGTAGAAGAGCTACAGGCGGAGTCAATCAAACACATACTTATATAGAAAGGGATTTCGATTATTTGTTTGATGACATGTTGTTCTTTGTTAAAAATTATATATCTATAACACTAGTTAAAATGTTAGGTGTTAACTAGAATTGACTGACCGAGTTTATCAGTTTATTTGTTTTACAATCATCAACCTTTTTTCTGCTTTTCGGATGATAAACAACTAAAGGAATAATTATTTCTATGAACCTTGCATAACGATAGGTACACTACCATTGTTACATTAATCTTCTGAAAAGTTACATTTATATTTCCCATTCTCGTAATTTATTATCTATTTCTCTGTTAGAATTGGATTTCATGTAACCGTCCTGATGATGTTTATACATCATCTGATTTATTCGAAGGTATCAATACAGCTACTGTACCACATTGCTCTCATCTACCGAAATCGAAATCTTCCATTAAAAACACTCTGAACCCAAGTGGAATTCAAGAGGCACTAAGTGCTCGTATGCAGCTACTAAGTACATTGGCCGATATCGATGACGAATTTGCAGACAAATTCTTGCAACTCGATCGTCCAGATTTATTGGTTCCTTCAGATATTGTTCATAAAAGTTTAAAAAAGGTTGGTTTTATTGTACAGAATGGCGTCTAGTATTTGTCGGCGATATTTTATGATTTGTATGTGTCAGAGTAAAATAGTACTATATGGTTTCACTAAGATTTCTGTCAGCTGATCATCTACTTTGGTCACAACTGCAGTCACTTTGTCAAATAAAATATAATCGATCTTGCGGTAAAATGATTCAACTTGTCTTTACTCGTAACTAAATGTAATGTCGCGTATGAGGATTGACACATGCATTCTCAAAGTAATAACATTTTTTAACACCTGGAGATTTACTAACATAGGTGTGAACATTTAATGATTTCTAACCATTATCATAATATGTGTATACTTGCTATTTTTATTACTTTACAATAATATCCATTAAATCAAACAATTATAATCTTAACGCTGTATCCCTTTTATTGTCTAGCCCTATTACTTACTTTTATTTTAGGCAATTCTTTCCTTCCAAGTCATACCAGTGTTAGTTGGTAGTAGTCGAAATAACATCGGAATTCAGCCTTTATTGGATTTTATTGTTGATTACCTACCAGATCCTAGTCATTCCAATATTCCAATCTCTATTTTAAAGGTTTATAAATCGTTGAAATCTACATTACCGAATCCAAGTGATCTTTTGAAAGCCTCTAGAGACTTAGATAATCGTCGCAGTATTCTATCATCGAATTTCCCAATCATGCTTGTATTCAGGATATGTTTTGATCCACATCGTGGTCCGCTTACCTTAGTACGCATATATTCCGGTGTAATTACACCTGGTTCTCAAATTGCTAATTGGTCCCGATATAAAGATATACATTTACCAGAGAAAGTAAGTCAGCACTGTGAATATACTATCGAAACGTATACAAGTTCAATTTACCTGGTTCTATAATATATCAGTAATTTGCCAGTCTAGTCGTAAATATCATAATGGAAAATAATTCCAAAAAAACAATTATCAGTTTATCGAATTAACAGTTATGTTCTAAGTCTAAAGATGTACTTCAGAATGAGCAGGGTAGCCTTCTATCGAGCCTCTCCAACGATGGCTGATGTTATTGTAGACTATTTGAATCCATCGTTGAGTCGATTGCGGGGGTCGCCATGTAAGATAGTGTTTTTTTCTCAAAGCTTGCTAGAAACAAACGGTTATCTTAGCCTATTTGCAACAGATGGTCGCCATTATTTGTTCACTGAGCTGCAACATTGTAACATTCATCCAAGTGCCTTTCGGTTTAGTTTGGTTTATCTACTTTAGCATTTAGCTGTGCAAAGGAGTTTGGAAAGTTGGCTATAAAATTCATATTTTACTTTATCGGAGTTTCAATCAGTGGAAGTGTAGGTAAAGACAACAAAAAACCAATGGCGTGTGTTCATATCCGAGTTCTTACTGTCCCATTTAGTCTGACAGCTCACAAGCGATTGCTTATTGGAATCCAGTCTAATAGAGCCTGTTCTGCTTTATAACAATGCTATACTTACACCAGCGAGTCCACAGGCAGTAGCAGTAGGGTCTCCAGATATTCGAAGAGTAAGTCGTGTCAGTCTTTCATATTCATCAAGTGAGGTTAAATGAATGACCATACTTGGATCTTGTATGCGCGTTTCGGAGATGCGGTGCGAGATTCTATAGTCCTAGCTAAAGAAGCTTGTTCTCCTATCTGACAGAAGGTTCGAACATTAAAAGCTTCAACACGTAGTTTAGTGCATGGTTTCAGCAGACCAGGGATAAAATATTGTGAGGTCATAAACCATAAGCGAATTATAGTTAAATTTGAATCAACAGTTTCCCGCTTTGTGGTTCAGAACTCATCTGTGTACGAAGTGCAAAACATGGTTGCTAACTAGTTATTGATATCGACATATATTGTATTACTTTGCAATAAAACTTGTTCATATGTATTTTTTACCCTATAGATCTTAAATGTATTTCAACTAAATGGAGATTCGTTAGAAGTAGTTAACAGTGCTGGACCTGGTAGTATTATTGCTTTAAGTGGACTTCAGTCAACGTACACAGGCGATGTTTTAGGTCCTGTCTTGAATTCGACTAAAAGTAGACAAGTAGAGAATTCCAATGGTACTGAATTAAATGATACTGAAGAAATATTTGACAATGGACCAGAATCACCTTCCGTATTTCAAGTATCCGAACCTGTTGTATACGCTGCGGTTGAACCTGGTAGTCGATCCGAAATAAATGCACTTGAACATGCTCTCAATTGTATGCAACGTGAAGATCCGAGCTTTCATGTAAGTCTAGCTTTTACTATTGTTGTTTTTCACAATTACTGTATTGATGAAATGAACTAATTTGATCGTTTTCACCATTTCCAGTTCACCTGATCTTTATATTGTGTACCACTTAAGAAAGGGAAAAAGCTACTGAGAGTCTAGTAACTCTATCCCTTATGTAGAAATTAATAGCTGTTTAAAGAGCTAGATATGCCAAAAATACATTTATTAATCTACTGACCAGTGTTACTTTTAACCCAGTTACTTTGTGATCGCGCGCGACTAAACTCTTCATATCTCAGGTATATGTGATTACCTCCTCCATTATTGTGTCAGCAGTATCTTCGGTTGCTATTCACACGGTAATATAGTCACATTTATTATTACCATTACTATTATTATTATTACCATTGCTATTATTATTATTATTATTATTATTATTATTATTGCCATTATTATTATTATTACTATTATTATTATCATTACTATTGCCATTATTATTATTATTATTACTATTATTATTATTATTATTATTATTATTATTATTATTAGTATGGGGGTTGTGGAGATTGTTAAGTTTTTGGTTGAGATCATGAATTAATTGACGTTATACCACCGTTGGAAACCTGGAAGCACTGGACGGCCGTTTCGTCCTAGTGTGGGACTCCTCAGCAAGTGCGCATCCACGATCCCGCACCCCGCGGGATTCGAACCCAGGACCTACTGGCTTCGCGCCTGAGCACTTAACCATTAGACCACTGAGCCGGCATCCAATGGTGTTAGTGTCTAACATCAACCAATCCACGAAATTGCGCGACCACCTTCCATTGTACTGAGGTAAATACCTGACCAGTGGAGCTAATCCGTGTCGGTTAGAGACAGGTATCTACCTCAGTACAATGGAAGGTGGTCGCGCAATTTCGTGGATTGGTTGATGTTAGACACTAACACCATTGGATGCCGGCTCAGTGGTCTAATGGTTAAGTGCTCAGGCGCGAAGCCAGTAGGTCCTGGGTTCGAATCCCGCGGGGTGCGGGATCGTGGATGCGCACTTGCTGGGGAGTCCCACACTAGGACGAAACGGCCGTCCAGTGCTTCCAGGTTTCCAACGGTGGTATAACGTCAATTAATTCATGATCTCAACCAAAAATCATTATTATTATTATTATTATTATTATTATTATTATTATTATTATTATTATTATTATTATTATTATTATTATTATTATTATTATTATTATTATTATTATTATTATGTCCCAACGAATAGTAAATGAATGGTAACTGCTAAGAATTATTTATGAACTATTATTACATATATATTCTTATTGGATAATTACTAAGTAACTAGGTCATGTATGTATTCGTATTTCTTTCATCATAAGCTTTGACTTAGCCCGTTGACTACTGTTACACGATACACCATTCTTTATTTATCCAAATCTACTAGTTACAGTATCGCATACTCACATTCACTTTTGACTTGATCCTGTATGATTATTATTTTTTATTTTATGGTGTGGTGCAGTCTGAAATATATGATTCATGTAGCGGAGGTTGATATTTGTGTTCTGAACTCAACGGGCTGTGATAGGCGAGAAGTTACTATTTTGGGGACCGGTAAGGACTCAGTTAACTCAATCGCGCTCGTTCTGATTAACACATTGGTTTAGCACAGTGACAAGATCATACATGTCGGTGTTCTGACTAGTGATCTTGTCACGTGATGTTTGACAGGGCCATTAGTCATAACATTATTATTATTATCACATAAATTGTCTTGCTTTCCAATAACCCTGCCAAAAGGTTGTCAAGAATCGTTGAACATTGGATATACGCCCTCTTGACAAATCTCAGTTAGCACAAAACAATACTAGTCTTAATAATTATGTTCAGCCACCAAACATTCCAATATATTCCACATATTATTGAGTAACTAAATCTAGTAGATGCGGTGCAACTGGACCGTTTAATCTGGCCACGACAATTTATTTTGCAATTGAGAGTCTCAGTGACCATTTACAGCGTGAAAATATAAGTTTTCTTGAACAATCATTGTTAGTCAGTAACAACGTAGAACTTCGTACGTACGTACATCAGTTCGAGTTGTCATACCACATTAGCACAGAGATGCAGTTATCGATTCAACCCCGTAGTGGTAGAGGTAGTACGAGTATAAGCAGTAATCGGAAACATTAGGGTTTGAAGATGTTATTCAAGGAGTATAATCCAGTGAAACAAATTTGGGAAGAAAATAAAGGACATGAAGAATTCAGAAGATTAGAAATTGGGAGAACACTAAGAGTGAATGCACCTGTGCCATCGCAAACGATTTTGAGTCATGTCATTCAGGGTCTCTAACCATTGGTTGGTATCATCTCGCGGTCCCCAACCAGGTAGTCTACACCTGCCAACATGACTCAGTCCACTTGTCAGTGACTTCATGGATTTGTGCCACGTTTTGATCTGGCCACCCCTGGCTTTCTTCTAACTTACTCCTACAGTCAGTCAGTCAGTAACAACGTAGAACTTCGTACGTACGTACATCAGTTCGAGTTGCCACACCACATTAGCACAGAGATGCACTTGTCGATTCAAATCCCGTAGTGATAGAGGTAATAAGAGTATAAGTAGTAATCGGGAAGATTAGGGTTTGGAGATGTTATTTAAAGAGTATAATACAGTGAAAGAAATTTGGAAAGAGGAAAAAAGGGACATGAAGAATTCAGAAGATTAGAGTTTGGGAGAACACAGAGAGTGGATGCACCTGCGCCATTGCAAACGATTTTGAGCCATGTCATTCAGGGTCTCTAACCATCGGTTGCTGTCATCTCGCGGTCCCCAACCAGGTAGTCTACACCTACCAACATGACTCAGTCCACTTGTCAGTGACTTCATGGATTTGTGCCATGTTTTGGTTTGGCCGCCCCTAGCTTTCTTCCAACCTACTCCTATACCACTGAACATAGCACGTCGAGGCAGTCGGTGGTTGGGCATACGTAACACGTGTCCCAGCCATCTCAACTGATGAAGTTTCACTACTTCATCAATTGATTTGCCATCCTTACCTAGTACCCGTTTCCTAACAACTGTGTTACTTACTCGATGGTCCCATGATATACGAGCAATGTTTCGAAGACACCTATGATCAAATACTAGTAACCCACGGATATCCTCTACTCTTACCGACCATGTTTCACTGCCATAAAGTAGGAAGGAACGAACTGCTGCGCAGTAAACACGTCCTTTGGTTGATGGACGGATATCTCGCCTACGCCATAAATGACGCAAGTTGGCAAAAGCTAATCGAGCCTTCTGTATCCGTGCTGAGATTTCGTCACACACCAAACCACAAGGGCTGATGAGACTTCCAAGATAAGTGAAGCGGTCGACACACTCAACTACTTCACTCCCTATCACTAGTTCGGGTGTCGATGTAACCCAATCCTGAAGCAACATTTTGCATTTCGAGGGAGAGAATCGCATCCCGAACATGCTTGCATTGTTGCTTAGAGTGGTCATAAGACTCTGCATTTTGTCAGCGTCTTCACCAAATAAAACTATGTCATCTGCATATTCTAAGTCAACAAGTGAACCTCCTGGTAGAAGTTCAACCCCTGTAAATTTAGATGAGGAGAGTGTTATCTCTAAAAGTACGTCAATGACAAAGTTGAACAAGAATGGGGAGAGTGGACAGCCCTGACGAACACCACTTGAGGTGATCAATTCTGATGACAGTTCGCCATAAGCTCTCACTCTACCAGTTGTGTTCGAGTAGAGAGCCTTTATAAGGTTAATGTACTTCTTTGGTACTCCTTTCAGTGACAAACACTGCCATAGAACCTTACGATCAACGGAGTCGAATGCCGCCTTAAGGTCGAGAAATACTACCATTGTGGGGCGTCTGAATGTGTGTCTCTGTTCTAGAACCTGACGTAGTGTGAATATCTGATCGATACAACCACGTCCAGGTCGAAAACCAGCCTGATTTTCTCTAGTCTGCTCTTCACGAGCTTTAGTTAGGCGTCGAAGTATTATTGAGGCTAATATTTTAGACACTATATTAGTCAAACTGATTCCTCTGTGATTGTCACAAGAGGACTTTTGTCCTTTCTTAAAAACTGGCACAATCAGTGATTGAGACCAGTCAGATGGGATTACGTCCAGTTCCCAAATTCTACCTAAGACCTCAGTTAATCTCATTGCTAATACTGGACTACCATCCTTAAAAATCTCAGGAGTAAACCTGTCAGGGCCTGCTGCTCTCCCTCGCTTCAGATTTCCTATGGCTTTTTCAACTTCGTAAAGGGACGGAGGACTTACATTAACTTGCCATTCAGGTTGACTGGAGATCGTGGGAAACCGAAGTGTGGCTGAAGGCCAGTTGAACTGATCCCTAAAGTGTTCTGCCCATCGATCCAATCTCCTGGATTGAGAATGAATAATATGTCCATCTTTCTCTGAGATTGTTTCGCTAACGGTCGGGTTCCTAATTCCGGTTTCCTTAACGAGTCTAAACAATTGTCTGCTATTACCTATTGCCGCTGCCTTTTCCATCTCTCTTGCTTTCGCTACCCACCACTGTTCGCGATCATTGCGTAGACTTCTTGTCAGCTTGCGCTTAAGCTGACTTCGCTCTTCATTATGTTCAGAGCCAGGTGGAATGAGTTTTCGAGCATCTATCAGTGCGAAAGATGCTGTTGAGATCCAGTGTTGCTCCCTAACTTTACGGTTTACCTTACTAGCAGATATCACTGCTGTTTCCACAGCTTTTCGGATATCGTTCCATGCTGCCTCGGGGTGGGCATCACATACATGGCTACCTAACTGTTTTCCTAGTTGTTCCTGAAATATATTCTTAGCTTGACTATCATTAAGTAGGCCCTAAGAGGTTTCCTTGCAGGATCTTTCCTACGTCCAGTAAGACGCAAGCAAATACGCGCTCGCACTAGAGCATGATCTGAATCTAGGCATGTGCTCCAGAATGAGCGACAGTCTTCTATCGAGCCCCTCCATCG